CCGACCCTGTCGATATTCAATAGTAAAGAGACCTACGTCGTCAAATTGTTACGATCCGATGGCAACAATCGCAATTCAGTACGAACACACGCAGGCACGATACATCCATAAAAGGGACCCAACTCAGCACATGGACGAAACACACATTCGGCTTCCAATCGACAGCCCCAAACCCAACAAGGCAGCAAACAAGACATCCGGACGAGATCCATTCTGATGCCAATTCTGGCCTTCATCACGAAACACATGATTATTAATAGGTAATGACTTTGAGATTGGCCGATCACGGTCCTGCTCTAGGGCGAGAACAAATTTGCACGCACCGTGTTAAAATCAAAGTAACGGCTAATAATAAATTCACATTTTTGTTGGTTTCAGTGTAATTCTTAGGAAAACGTAAGTTTTCCCAACAAATTTCGTTAGTCCATCATGTGACGTTCACCCAAGTCAAACATACCGCCAATGAGACCCCCATTTCAATCTTTCCAAATGGACAGTTTATCACTGTTCTCTAATCCCGGTCCAATGAGCAAGCACTTTAAAGCAGTGTCAGGTAAAGTAAAAACATTTGTCCAGAAGCAGCAACCAGCTCTTACCGGCATTTTTGATGTTGTGGTCTATGTATACCAAGCCACGAAAAAGAACTACAGTAAAACCGCCAAAGTTGACCACTTCCCTATGTTGACCACATTGTCTTAGCTTGAACGGTCAACGTGTAAACACTGTGGAACCAGACCTCTGTAGGTTGACCACCTCCGTAAGTTGTATGTTGACCACTTGGGCTATGACAGTCAGCAATCACTCTACCTGCCTTGCGGTAAACGGTGCGCTGCAATGTACCTCCGTCCCTCCTCTTAATGAGGATATCCAAAAATGCCAGGGAGCCGTGTTGCTCCATCTCGTGAGAGACTGATAAGTTGGGGTGAATTGAATTCAGAGTGGTTAACAGGCGAGGAAAATGTTCGCTGTTGGTGAACACCAGAATGTCATCTACATACCTTTTGTATAACGTTGCTTCACCAATACTTGCAGCGACTTGCCTTTCGATCAAGCCGAGAAAGATATCTGCCAAGACCGGTCCCAGAGGGCTACCCATGGCGACTCCGTCGATTTGCTTGTATGCTCTCTCCTCAAACTCAAAACGTACATTCTCTGTACACAGTAGAATCATATCCCGCAAATATTCCACAGGGAGACCCACATACATGTTTTGACTCAGGATGAAATGACACAATTCATCAACTGTTTCTTGAAGTGGCACGTTTGTGAATAGAGAATCCACGTCAATAGAGTACATGACTTCCGAACCTAGTGAGAATTGTTCTAGCGTCTCCGCTAGTTCAAATGAATCTTTCAGGCAGTGCGTAGCCAAGAGTTTACGCACGGGATCTAAGAGTTTCGCCAGCCACCGGGCAACGTTGTGATAAGGCGAGTTGTTCATGCACATAATGGGACGCAGTGGGTTGCCTGGCTTGTGTATCTTAGGCGCGCCCCTCATTCTCGGTGTCTGCGTCCCAATCGGTTTCAGCTGTCTGTACTGTGACTCAGTGATGTATCCGTGCAGCAAAAGGATCTGGAGTTTTCTGGCTACCTGCTTCTCCACTAAGATGTTATTCTCCGGTGTCGTATCTATCAGCAACTTACGTCTATCCACCAAAATAGACTCCATTTTCGAAACGTAGTCATCCTTGTTCATTACTACAATACCTGACCCTTTGTCTGGCTGCAGGAAGATTACGTTTGCCATTTCATTTAACTCTCTGATCGCGGCATAGTGTTCAGCATTCAGGCAACATCTCTGGCTTATTGGCGTATTAAGGAATTGGTTCACGATATCCACCAATTTTTTGCCATGTATATAATTGTGTATGTGTTTCTGCTTGTATTGTGTATGCGACTGACGAGAACAATCGAAATGTTAACATATCGCAATCTGTGCCTTCTTTCTGCTTTGATCAAATCACACAGCGGCCATCAGAAACCAAGCACAAACTGAACTCTCGGCAATCTCCTCTATTGTGCAGCATCCGCTCATTTTAAACAATAGATGAGATATCCATTCCAGTTCAGCAAAGCACCTGTTGTCATTGGGATTCTCGACCTTGGATATTTCCGATCTGTGCATCTCCACCATCCGAGGAACCACACGTGTGTATGATGTTTGTATGCGAGGTGCAGTCTACCAACCACTATCACTATAACAACAAACACTGACAGCTACTGGGCTTGTGGTCTTTGACCGAGTTTCCCGAGCTTTTATTGGGCCAATTGCTTAATACTATGTAGTGGCATTCGTCCCACCCTGGCAAATTGCTGTACTGCTCATTTCTCGAGCCATACATGCATTTGCCGAAGATGAATGTTCATCGATTAACCACTGGATCTAAGCACAAGTTCAGTTGCACTTTGGATTGTGCGACATTGACGTTTACGCCCACAATAATTGTCGAGCATTTATCCGGATGTATTTGGTGTCGGCCTGAGAGTGAAACTAATTGCGGTTGCTTATGGGGTGTAATTAATGTTACGCCACTAGAACTGTATACCTTAGATCCACGCCGTGCTTTGAACAATTTAGGATCGGTCATTACGAGTAATCTAACATTATAACCCAAAGAAAAGACCTTAGGGTGTTGGCTTTGAAGGTAAAGGTTAGTCAGCTATATTTTCTGGAAAGTAGTAGCCAAAGAAGGAAGAGAGAGCATTTTGGTGCTAGCAAGACAACAGTTATCAACATCCAAAGACATAAACAAGAGTGGTTTGAGAGTTACGATAATGAAAGAGATCTACAGTGAAAGAGGCGAAAAATCACACGATGAAGTCAATGAGGCTACGCTGCACTGCTTCAAGCAACTGAAGGTAGCTAACGGCCGAATTTCCTGGCCGATGATCCAAGAAGTTGTTAAGATGTTCTCACAAGGATATGGGGTTGCAGATTTCCAGGTATCCAATGGTTGACTAGAGAAATTTAAACTCCGACATGACATTTCCAAAAGAGTTTTGCATGGTGAATCCAATGAAATGTCTGAAAAATCTGTTCAAGACTTCATCGAAAATTTTTCCAACAATGACGACATTCTTACCGTTGACGATTGTGCTCATTTTCTAGGCGATGCCTAACAGAAGCTTGATATCAAAGGCGACAAATGTAAGAGTGGAAAACATTCCAAAGTACATTTCACAGTTCTTTTTTGCGCTAACTCAAGTGGGGAAAGCTAACGCCCCTGGTCATTGGTAAATCAGCTAGACCAGGTGCGTTCGAAACCCTAGAGATCCAACCAATCCGCGTGGATGACTGCTGCCATATTTGAGGAGTGGATCAGAAGTATAAACAAAGAAATGATGAAGACGAAACAGTGGACAACTGTGTTAGTCACGTCGATCTCACTTAAGTTGCTGCCTCCGAAAATGACCTCATGAATTCAACCTCCGGAGCAAGGGATCATCAAAATATTCAAAATGCACTACTAAGTCTGGCTTATGCAATGGGCTATGATAATACTGCATATTAGTGATTCTCATGTGAAAGGAACCTCATCTGTTGCTTCAATTAGTGCTTTGGATGCTGTGCCTTGGATAAGTTCAGCTTGGTTCAAAGTTCAAGCAAAAACTATGCAAAAGTGTTGCAGAACAGCCGGATTTGTTCAATCTCTCGAGCGGGATGCCGTCGCCTTATTAGACATCCCATCTCAATTAACAGAATTCGTTGGAATAGATTTTAAAGTTTGTTGAAATAAATGACGACTTGGTAACTTGCACTGAATCAGACCCAGATGTTATTTTACAAGAGATACTGACTGCGGTACTTCCATACGGAAACAGAGAACATGCACCTGATGATGTTGATGAAGAAGTGGAAGGACTGAGTGACGATGATTTAGAAATCACAGAAACTCCAAAAGATGAAGCTACATATCTTTAACACAAATGAAAGCATTTGCTATGGGAAAACTGCCAAAGCATGCTGAGTAGACTGACATGTTCTGAGTGCGCTTTTTTAATCACCTTTGTGAGAAGAGAGGTATACAAAGAGTAACTTTTTCTTCAAAAAATGAGTTAACTTGCGAAATGCACATTGCGTTTTCATTTATTATAACACTGTATGGTTGAATTGTGTTTGCCGTTACGTGAGACCTGGTCTAATCTGTTCGAAACGGGTTTGAGTGAAAATAAATTTCATACTCATAACGGGAAAATGGGTTACGTCATCCTTCGGCATAAAACCTCCGTAAGTTGACCATCTTTCAGTGTTGACGACTTTAGTCCAGTCCTTTGAGTGGTCCAGTTATGGAGGTTTTACTGTATATCAACGATATACACCGACGAAGCTCATTTCTTCCTTAGTATTTTACTGTATCTATCTCCACATTTTCAACCTGACTGCAGTGTAAACAATACGTGCTCCGAATCAGACTTACAATTCCAGCGCGTTCCAGTGTGGTTATAAAAAGCTACCATCAAGAGGCAAGTCACAAAGTGGATTAATGAAGGAGTCCTCCCAATTTAGTCGCTTCATCACCATTCGATCTTACTGGTACTCAAGATGGATACAATATTGTGGAATATAAAACTTTTCGGTGTATAAGACACCACTGTGAGTCGGCTGAATTTAATTCACGAGATGTCCTCCTGTATGTCGTTCCGTTTAGTCATTACAATTAACTACTTTTGTTGCACTGCAGACAAATGCGAAGTAAACTCATACTGAAATTGAAACCAATCCAGAGCAAACAACAGAAGGTGTAAAGAGCAAGGACTGTTCGAGTGTAGTGGATTTCGCCATCGGGTTACGGGTGCGGACTTGTGGCAATTCATTCAGCCGACTAGGTGGATCAGTTTCTCTCCGCAAACGCGATTGGGTTCACATAAATAGCGGAAAACTAAAGGCAAATCCTGTTCGACTCGAAGACCGAGTGTAAACACACAGAAACGTTTCAGATGATATAACCGAATAAGAAAAAAATGACGAAAACCATCGCCCGATAATTAGATAAACATACATGAAGCAGCCTATCACGGAGCTCTCCAGGACTGAGCAGTTCTGTGCTGACATCATTTTCTTCATCCGAATCGCAAATAATTTCGTCAAGAGCTGGGGCAACTGGAGGTTCCATGGGTTGTTACAGCTTCTGAAGTCAAAAAGTGCACGCATGTGATAAGGAAACCGTGTAACCCCAATACAAAAGAGGTTATTTTAGAAAAATTTATTGTGAATCAAAGTAATAACAGGACAAAATTATCAAAGAATGCATGGTTGAAGAAAAGATGATGCCTGCAGCAGCCATGCAGCACAAGCAATGACGGAAATCAATAATAAAAATTCCAGCTCCATAGTATTTGCTCATGCCAATGTTTACATATAAATGCACCGATAAAACAGATATCCATGCGACGTTTCAGGTGGTGCGAGGTAAAATCTTTCGAAGGTTCCCAGTATTTGGCGCAGGGGGTAACCCAGTCAAACGGTAAATCCCATCATTCTGATTGCAACTGTAAGAGAACCGTTGTCTTTCTCCTTGCGGCCGAAAGCGATGGACGATTCTCAAATGATGTGATATAGTCTGCACTTTCCGAACACGGAAACCACGACAGATGTGACACTCGTACCACACTCCACCAGGATTACTGGGGTGATGGAAGCGCTTGAAATGGCGTAGGTAGGCTGCATATAGTCCGCTTCGGAACTCGCAATCTTCTACTTGACAAAAATACAACTGCGACGTCTTATCTGTGTTCACATCAGGTAGATGTATATTGCGGGGTACATGTGTGCAGTTGGATTTCCTTTTAAATCTGGTCACACATGTCCGGTCCTCAAGCAGTCTGAGGTTCGCTCGAATTGTCGCACGTTCCTGAGGAGGAACACAGTTGAGCGCCTTCTGATGAGCCCACAGACGATGCTTAGTCAGGAACTGTTTCGCACAGTATAGGCATCGCTCGAACTGAATCCGTGGTCTGGAATGCTCCTGATTCATCTGTGCTTGAGATGGTCCACCGATGGCTGAACCCACTGTATCTCCGACACCACTATCGGAACCAAAGTTGGCGGCAGATCCTGCGAATAAAGTGGAAGGAACACCGGATAACAAATTAGTTGATTTCATTATGATAGCTGATAGCATAACAGATAAAGACTGAATGAGTCACGTACTTACAATAAACATTTAACTTTTTGCTAAAATTAAAACCAGTGCGTGTCGTGTGGGAATGAGCAATAAAACGAATTAAAAGAAGCAAAATACAAATTAACTGTGAAACCCAGGTTATTGAACGTTCGCTAGCAAATCTTAAACAAATTTCCGCGATGAAAACTATCTATTAGCATAGAGAACACATACGGGTAGTAAAGTGGGACTATAAAAATACTGGGGAACAATGGAACACGAAACCAACAAGTAGTGACATAGGCAAAATAAAAGCCAGCAGCATTCGAAAAATGTGACATGCATGTGTCTTAAATGACTAGCTAACAAGCTAAGCAGCTGAGGTGTTAGTGTGCTCACAGAGCTGAACAATCTAGTTGCAGGCGCTTTGCAATTAGAGCAGTATCTGAACTAGCAGTATTGTGATGTAGCGCAGTGAGTTGGTGATAAAAGATGTCCTTAATAACATCGGAACTGCAATCGGAGGGAAGTAAGCGATAAACATCGGCAAGCAATCGCTGGCAGTACCCGGTGCGCTAACCTTGGCTAATGTTGTCTGATTGACTACGCAGACATCTGCTCAAGGGAATCCAATCAATTAGCAATGGCTCAGACTTGGGGGTTAGAAAGAGACACGTAACAGGTTGGCCTATTGTTGCTGTACTAGCGTTCATGGATGCGTGTAACTTATAGTGAGAGGACAGATCGAAGACAGATAATTCAACAACTAGATGTGTTATCAAGCTTAAATTCGGACAAACGGCACACTTTCACATTCAACGTGTCCATTGTAAGTCCAATTGGAGGCCGCCTTAAGGTAGGAAGGTGGAACGTCACCATAGGAATGGAACAGTATCGTCTGATGGTGAGCTGTTGGTGGCAGCGTCTCGGTGGGTATTGTGGATATATAAATGTCGATGACCGGACCTCAATGACACTGCACCCTCCGTTGATCGCGATGGGGATCGCAGAATGATGCTTGGTAATAGGGTCCGAAGACAGCGTAAGAGGAGTAGGTGTAGAAAACGGAAGAGAGGCATCAGCAGTAGCATGCTTCCGTTTATCCAAGCTGGTGTACACGGCAGACAATATGAGCTTCCTGCAACTGCAAGAAGGCGGACGTAAGTTGTGGTTGAAGTTAGATGAGAAGGTTATGGTCATCAACTAAAGTTTTGGCCAAAAACCTAAATACAAGGCAGTGGGAAGATGACAACGATCAGGATTCCGAGAAATAAGTGTCATCACTTTCTCTATCAACCCGTTAACCTGAAGCAATGGGAGAACTAGTTTTGACCAATTATGTTCGAGTAGCTCCCAAAACAACCGAGGGCATCGCCCAGTAAAGCTCAAGTGGTCGAAGATTTACGTAAACCATGGCAACACAATAAGATCCAGTATCGTGGTGACCAAACGAAGAGCGCCGTTCAGTGTAGCATTCGTCACTCATTGGGCTGTTGTGCTCATAAAGTTTGAGTGATGGAACAACTTCCGTCTAATTCAACTAATTGGGAACCCAGGAGTTCTGCAACTAAGCATTGTGTTTGAACAGCTGCGTCTGGTGTATGGTTTAGTGTCGCGCAGCTCATGCATACCATTGCGACATCCTTGTGGAGTCAAGGAGAGCGCAGCGCAGTCTTCACAATGGTATCGTCCGGCCCCATTCAAAAAGAGTGTGAGCTGAATGCATGCCATAAGGAAGTTATGGTGCAGGAAACCAAAGAATCCAATGTGTTTATATGGAACGTGTTTAGATTAAAAGCTCCGAATAAGTCCCCCAATACGTTCAAAGCGCAATAGGGACTGGTGAAATAAACCGAAATAGCTGAAAACGCAGTTTTTCAACATTACAAGTGGGATGGGCGGCAACAGTTATAAAAAGCAAAAGTGAGAACATCCGATCCGAAAGACCATGTTGAGATTTGATAATAGCAAACAACATACCAGGTGAAACGAGTTGACCGATATTGGAGTAGTGAATGAACAGTAGGTTGAAACACTTACCGCACAAATAGGGTTTGTCTCTGTCGGTCAAGCTCCACATGAAATGCTCCTTGTAGGTGGCGAACTCGGTAAAGCCTACATAACATTTGTTGCATACAAATTTGGGGAGGCCAGTGTGTCGATATAAATGTTCCTTCAGTACAGTGAAAGCACGGACAGTCCGACCGCACTGTTGAGTGGAGCCTGTAGATATATCTTCGGGGGAAATCATCCAACGGCAAAGACACAGTCCATTAGTGTTCACCTCGGCTGTAGCATGATCGACCACATGTTCGGTGTACAAATGAGCGGAGCTGGTGCTTTCGACAAGTAAACAAGATGCATAGAAGACACATGAGAATTTCAGTGACCGATGAGAAAAATTCTAGCAAAGACAACAAAGGAACCAAACTGGTTAAACAAGCAGTCGATAAAAGTGTTCCGAACCGCTTTATGGATTCGGCATGCGAATAAAAACAGCTCGCCCGCTTAGAGTAACTGAGCCAAGCGTGTCTAAACATTTTGATTATCATATAAGGTCGACCTGCACCCATGAATCACGTCCGCAAGATCAGTATGATCGAGTTGTCAGCAAACGGCAATGGCTATCCTAAACAGCTGTTAGGAACTTTGGTGAAAAAATGTTACAAAACGCTTACTTAGCGTTTGCATTAGTAGTCCGCCCATTGAGAGAAGAGTCTGATGTGCATCACAAGTAAGTGAGGAATGTCGACATAAAAGCTCGCATTCATCGACAAAAAGGATCGCATAAATGCTGCCAGCGTTGTTATCACGAATGTATTCTAATCAAATGGAGAATATAGTTCCAGGATGATTGTTGACGTATCGTTGAAACGAATAAACCTTGGAGTGATTTATATATATATATATATATATATATATATATATATACATATATATACATATATATATATATAACTTTCATTTTAAACCAGAGGTTTTGCAAAACAGACTGGACCTTTTGCAAACCACTTTGGACACATTGGATTTTAAGAAGAAAATCACCAATTCGCTTACAAGAAATGAGGAGTAAGGTGACTAGACTATGTTTACACTACACTGTAGTCATGCTAATGCAACCGAATTGTGTAACCAGCGGGTACCCCCCCCAAACTCTTCTCTTGACAGTGAACCTCAATCGCATCGGTCAGCTGCGGTGACTGAGTGTCCTCCTATCCCCACATCTGTCTTCTCGCAGTTTACGTGCTTCTGACTTTACGCATGAACCTGTGTAGCTATGTGGCTATTGGAAAGTCAAACTCCCCAATCGCGAAGTCTATCAGGACATAAACAAATGTTACCTAGCCTTGGAAGGTCGTTATGAAGCACTCCTTTTGGGAATGGATTACGATGCGCCATCTCAAGGTGGACCGCGATTCCTTAGATCGTAAATGATGAAGCAGATAGGAGACGATCCAGTTGTCCCCTGTCGCTCTATGGACCTTCGCGTATCTTATGTGGGTACGCGGGCGAACCTATACAGTTGATCGAATACTGGAACAGTGTATGCTTTGATGAATCTATCAAAACCAGTCTAATTATGCTGGCCTAATGTTGCAGTTTGTTATCAAGGCAGAGGAGTAAGTCGACTGGATGATGTCCGTGTCACATGCTGGTCGGGCGAATGCAGAGACTGTGCAAGCAGTAGTGCAAGCCTTCTCCTTGATCATTGGCGTCGTTCACCTTCATAGAAGCGGGTGACACATTTTGCCCTGTCACCTTATGGGCTTCCGCGTATTTCCTGTCGGTGTGTGGGCTAACCTATTCAGCTACTGGATTATTCGGTCAGTGCAAGAAATGATTAAAATGTTTTTGGTAACGACATGCAGCAGTAGGCCAATAAAACTACGCTGTGTTTGGTGGAGTCACAGTACCTGCAATGATCCAATAATCGAGAAGCTGAATAGGCTGGCCCACACAAAATCCGCGATGTCCATAGAGTGACAGCAGACAACTGGATCGCCGTCTATCTGCTTCATTAGTGCCGGACTAGGTGATCGAATTGACCAAGGTTTAATTCAGTGGCAATCGCAGTCCACGTAGAGATGGTGCATCGTAAACCATGCTCAAAACGACCGCTTTAGAACGACCCTCCAATGCTAGGTAAGATTTGTTTAATTCGTGCTAGACTACGCGATTGGAGAGCTTGTCTTTACAATAGCCACAAAGCTACACAGGTCCATGCGTAAAGTCAGAAGCACGTAAACTACGAGAAGACAGATGGGGAGATAGGAGGACACTCAGTCACCGCATCAGATAGACGCAATTAAAGTTCACTGTCAAGAGAAGAGTTGCAGGAGCACCCGCTGGTTACACAATTCCGTGGCATAACTACAGCGTAGTGTAAACATAGTCTAGTCACCTTACTCCTCATTTCTTGTAAGCGAACTGGTGATTTTCTGCTTAAAATCCAATGTGACCAAAGTGGTTTGCGAAAAAAAACATTTTGTTTAGCAAAAGGTCCAAAGTGGTTTGCAAAATCAAAGTAATATGCAGAACGTAAAATTCAAAGTGAAAATGGTATATATATATATATATGTATGTATGTATGTATGTATGTATGTATGTATATAATGATTTGGCGGCGTCCGTATCCGGATTTGCCTGTCACTGTGACGTCCATGGGGACAGTCACAGGACGCCTGCGCCTACAGAGGGACCATGGGTGGCTTGCGCTGCACCTCCCATAGTTCCACCCACACACCTCATATCCGGTGTAAACCCGAAGGAATAAGACCGGGAGGCATGCGGATGGGAGCCACGTTTCATCAACGGGGCCGGCCCACACTCCTTCAACAAGCAGAACGGAAGCATTCCGGCCTAATTGGGAAATCACACACACCAGATCTACACGAGGCGGTGGCTGGACCGTAGCCCGTTCCACACAGGTTGCATGGAACCACTCTTTGAGCCTAGCACCGTCACAAGGACAGTGCACTCCGTCCCCTCCAGCGACGACCAACTGTCTCCTGGAGCCAGTATGGACGAGGTAGTGGATAATAGACAGGTAGGCACCTTGTCAACATTCACATCAGGCGCATCTACACAGGGGAGCTCAAGCAACATCTACTTCTGAAATGAAAGATTACTCATCAAGCAGGCAAACGTACCACATACGCCGCCTTATTGGCCTGGATTAGTAAATTGAATGGGAATATACTCATGGTGTTTCTATTCCGCATACAATTGTGCCTTCTCCGGCACCTAAGAAACCGCCCTTTTGAGTAGTTCACGGAATTCGCATCGATCAAATTTGCCTTGGATTCGCAACACCTGAAATCAACATGAGTTTGTCATAAACTCACCTTCTTCATGTTCTGGTAATATTATTTTCGGTATACATATATACATAGATTGGCGTCATCTGTGTCCAATGGCAGTTCGAACGCGACATATGTACATGCGTTTCTCCAAACTTAAGTGTGAGCTGTCCCAAACATGCACTACTATACACGGCAGAGAACCGTATATATAAATATATATATATATATATATATATATATATATATGATTGCCGCGAATCTGGAGTCGTGCTGAAGTATTGGAAACCACCTCACGCTTCTGCTACCTTGGGAGTGTGATATCGACTGATCAGCAACTACACAGTGAACTGTGTATTCGAGTGTCGAAGGCAGAAGCGGCATTCGGGAAGCTTGAGTACAGAGTGTGGAGCAGGCATTTGCTTACCATTGGCACGAAGCTGATAGTGTACAACTCCATGTTGCTGTCCGTTCTTCTATACGGCAGTGAAACGTGGACGATGTACCGGCGAGATGTGAGATATCTCGAGCGGTGCCATCAGCAGTGTTTGCGATGCATTTTGAGCTTCAGTTGAGGCGACAGAGTTGTTGACAAAGAAGTGTTGCGCCGAAGTGGGATGTATGCAGTGGACGGCATACTTTTACTGAGACACCTGAGATGGCTCGGTCATGTGAGCCGTATGGATTCGACGCGAATACCGAAACAACTTTTATACGGTCAGCTGAGTACTGGGAAGTGGCATGTGGGGAAACCAAAGTTACGTTACGAGGACATGATTAAAGTGAGCCTCTCATGTTCTAATCTTGATTGCAGGTCATGGGAATCGAAGACGGTTGATCGTGGTGCATGGCGCGATCTAAGCAGGAAGGCAGTTGCCGAAGTGCGGGAGAATGACCTCATACATGCAGAGAAGAAGCGGCAAGCACCAATGGATTATACTCCATCGACATCGAGCGCATGGTGCTGTAACACATGCGGTCGCGAGTGCCTGAGTCAGGTAGGCCTAGTGAGCCATGAGCGAGGCCATTTGGGACCACTACCGAAGCGACGACGAGTCCTGCAGAGAACGAAGGCAGAATCAGCGCAGCATTTGTAGGCACGCTACAATCGATTTATTAATCGCGTACTTGCATTCTAAGTCTATTTATTTCAGGCGGTGGGTTTTCAATTTTGTTCTAATGCTTTTCTCATATAAATGTCCACCTGTACTCTCTTATATAAACTTGCACACGTCGCTTAAACCAATTGCAGTTAAGTTCGATAACATTTCCGTGTTTGTCATTTCCGTAAAATATACTTGCTCACCTCGTGAACATATCTCGGATTCTTTTGTAAACAACATATTTCACATGCTCATTAATTTAAAATCTTGTCACTTTTCCATATGCATTACTCGATTTCTTTTCCTTGTTATCATTCTCTCAAGTGATTGGCTGTTGCTTGATATCCACCCACTACCCACTACCTCGTCCATACTGGCTCTAGGAGACAGTTGGTCGTTGTTGAAGGGGACGGGGTGCACGGTCCTTGTGGCCGTGTTTGGATCTAAGAGTGGTTCCATGCACTCAGTGTGGAGCGGACTACGGTCCAGCCACCGCCTTGTGTGCGCTTGATTTCCCAAATACAGCGTGCTTGTGTGTGCCTGTGAAGGAATGTGGGCCGGCCCCGTTGATGAAACGTGGCTCCCATCCACATGCCTCCCGGTGTTATTCCTTCGGGTTTACACTGGATATGGGGCATGTGGTTGGAGCTGTGGGTGGTGCAGCGCAAACCACCCATGGTCCCGCTGCAGGCGCAGGCGTCCTGTGGCTTGCCACAGTGATAAGCAAATCGGAAATCGGATGTCGCCAACCATTATATATATATATATATATATATATATATATATATCGTGTTTGGCTACAAGTGATATGCCATGGGTTTGAAAGATGCAAGGCATGAGGTTACTATCTTCATGAACCTTGTTCAATTATTAGATTGAAGTACTGAATAATTCGATTTGGACAAGAAGTTATGACCGATTAGGAAAGCTCGAGAA